ACATATCTTATTAATTAATTATTTCCTTGAATATTATTCATAAGCACTATGTTATAAAGTGCATGATGTATTTTATGTTGTATTTTATAGCTGACTCGTCATCCTATTACCAAATGCATTTTTTTATCTTCCAATTAAATAGGGTGAACCAATTTAAATGAATTGTCAGAACAACAGTACGAGATGTGAGGTTTATTTTTTTTCTTTAAGACTATATGTATTTTAATTTTTTCTCTAGACTGTATTTTAATCATCATCCTTAAAGAAGAATGGTATATCATTTTTGAAAGTACGTCGACAATATTCGCGTTCGAATGTAGATTTGCTTTTTATGTTTTCGCTTGATATTATGGAAGTTTTATGTAACAATGATAAGAATATCTTGCAGGTCATTGACCGAAGCCAAATCTATCTGAATCATGTGTGCATTATTGAAATGTTGGGACGTTGATTTATGAGAGCGCTGTAAACTCGAACGAGAGTATTTGCTTAATTCTTCTGATTTTGTAACAATTCTTCCAGGTAGATCCATGTCCTACAGTGATAGCTGGTCCAATTTTCCCCATTACTCCCGAGATACGACGGGACTTCACAGTTTCTCACCGAAGGACGCCGCAGTGCGACATCAGCGATTCCGCGGCGATCATCGTGAGAGACGCTTCTTCCGATGCATCTACTGCGAGTACCAATCCAAGTACAGCTCGAATGTGTACAAGCATATGCGAAGAATTCACAAACACATGCCCTTCTTTAAGCCAAATCGATTGTAGTAGTAAGTTTCGAGAGGCGCGAAAATATTGTCGATAGCGAATGATTTTCCGCGAGAGAGAGATTTTTATCTTAAGAAATTATGAATAATTAGATACTAGTTTTAACTTCAACATTGAAATATCAAAAATGAATTTACTTTGTATGAAATATAGTGTTTCGATGAAAGTATTTTAACAATTCTTCATGTGATGATGCAGAATTATTATGATTGATTTGAAGATTTTTTAGGAATTTCCATAATCGACAGAGAATACATGACATTGACAAGTTTATTCAGAACTAGCTATAGTTAAACTATTTTGCCAATTTGTCTAATTAACTTGATCGTTAATCAGCAGCAGTTAATATAAGAATTATATTATTTCTTTAAATTAATTTTAACAACATGTGTGCCGTTTCTCTTTAATATAGATATATATTCTATCTTTGCGTTTTTTAAATTTAGTCAACTGGGCCTTAAAGATGCTATTAAAGAAGTTAATTATTTATTTGTTTGATTATATGTGAGTTATTTATATATAATTCTTTCTATACTTATTTTTAATTTTAAAATGTTAAAAAATGACAAAATGTTATAAGTAATAAATTACTAGTTATGCGTTTTTGATCAAATTTACACTACAAAATGTTGCACTGTGGATTTGTAATATTTCTTAACCATTGAGCAATAAACGTTGTTGTTCATATATTGATCGATTAAGATGTAATACCTTTCATCCTTTTGCATTCCTTATAATTTATAATATTGATAATTTTTTTAAATAAATCTTTTTAAAGACGATAATTTTACGCGATTAGAAAGTACATCTTTCTTTTTCAGGTTCGATGGTTGGATTTATTAAGCAAGCTCAACGAAAAAATATTTATTAATTAACAATTCTTTTCACTGTTATTTTTTCATCATTAACAACAAATAATTTTCTTAAAAAATTTTCTTAATAAACTCAAGATTAGATGTCAACAAATTTTTATAACTTTCTGTTATTATATCTTCTTAATTGTTTCTTCCGCTATTTTTTCTGTAATTATTTAATGTAAAATTTAATTCCGAGTATATGTTTTCAATTGTTTATATATAAGAATAATCGCATACTTCTTTTTATATTTTTGTTTTAACTTTCCATAATTACGTAGTACTATCTTTTGTATATATATTTTGACTCTTTCTTTTTAACACAACAATAATAATTATATATTAATATAAATTTTTTAGATTAAGAGCATTATTATTTTACATTCTAGTCAAGCATGATAAGATATCTATTTTTCAATAACATTCAAAATAAAAATTTTACGACAAATATTGCCATTAAAATATATGATGTTATATCGTTAAAAATACGATATTATAGCATGTAAGTATTAAAAATAATAGGGAAAGACTACAGCTTTGTTTCTTGAGTCTAACAAAATTAGTTTTTTTCTGGATTTTTCGTCAATCGTGCGGAATGTATTTCGCAGTTTGGGATACTTTCACTGACCTCGATCTCGATCTGTTTTTTTTTTTTCAGTATTCCGTAGGGATCGTCATATAATCGAGCATAAGGAGAGATACTTCTGTCCACGGTGCAACAGCTCGTTCAGCAAGAAGAGCAACATGCTGACACATTACAGGCATGAGTGCGGAAAAGCCCCAAGATTCCAGTGTCCTTATTGTGGGAAAAAAGATAGAAAATCCTCCAACACTTATAGGCACATCAGAATGCATCATAAAGGCAGCAGCATTCAAGCATATCGGCTGTACTGAATCAAGAACGTTTTAATGTCTTCGCACGGAAGACAAATTGATGACATTTCGCCGAGACACCGGTCAACCGAATTATCAAGTCCTGATCTTCTCTACCAGAGAGCATCGCGTTATCCACTGGATCAACAGGTGATGTCGTAAAGGAGTACGGTACCTGAGGAATCTACAGCGAAGAGTCCATTTTTTTTCGTATTTCGCTTATTCAAGATTCTTCTGGTGGATGTACGCTCGATCACGATAATAAGATCTCTAACACTGCGACATTGTCTCCTTTCTCCCCCAAGATATCCCTCGTTATATCCTATCACTTTAGTGAGCTGCCGAATATTCTCCTCGTTCTCTACTTGTTCCACGTTCTACTCTGCTACTTCGCCATCCTCATGCGCCTCTCCGATTGTGATGGCACAGACGCGATCTGGAGATATCTCTTCATTTACATCTTTTACTCATTCGTCTTCCTTTTATCGTGTCGCCTGTTACGTTCTTTTTTGTTCTGGCCACAGTTACGTCACAAGTTTGTCCAATGTTCTTGAACCAGACTAATCGTATCTCTCCTTTTTCCTGTTCGTAGGACGATTCCTGGAGCCCTACCACGCTCGTATCATGGACATCCTGAGCGTGAATTACAGTGGTAGCCAGAACGTAATCAAGCGCGAAAATGGACCCTTTTGGCATTCTGGGAAGATGGCGTATCACTGTCCCAGATGCAATGCTGGCTACACTTACAAGAAGACACTGAAGACTCACATGAAGTACGATTGCGGGAAGGAGCCGAGGTTCAAGTGCCCTTATTGTAGCAAGAGGGATAAGTGCTCGTCGAATATTTATAAGCACATTAGACTGCGACACAACGGAAAACCGGTATACGTGGACAGATTAGAGTCATCTCGTTCTTCTAACTCTTCCTTTCGTGATTCGCCGTCTGCCATCGGGCAATCACCTTAACTTGTGTGGACTAAATCAAGACATTTTTGTGATACTGGTGATGAAAGTGGCTGTAAAAAGAGAAAAAAAGAGAGGAGAAAAAGAGATTTTGATTTGTAACATTATCTATTTTATTTTAAATAATTAATAATGGTTATGAAATATATAAATACATATCTATATTTTTACATTTATCGTTTTTATTTTATGTTTTTATTTTATTTTATGACTTTAATTTCTTTATATTATATTATATACAATTATCACTTTAACTTTACATTGGTGATATAAAATTTGATTTGATTTTCTCTTCGTTAGAAAGAAGTTTTAGATCTTGCGTTTAATTGATCTTATAATCTTTCCGAATTTTAATGAATTACAGTTTGTTCATATTGATGATATACATAATTATAAATAAAAAAAAGTAGAGTATATTATTATAATAAATCTAATAGAAAAAGCACATTATGTCTAAATGATGAAATATTACATCAGTTATTTATTTATTTTTTTTATAACTTCAAATTTACTTTTAAATTCTATTGAGTTTAAAGCTTACCAACTTGATATTTTAATTTGAAACATATATAGGGAAGAGTCATTTTTTTCAAGATTTATTAATTTTTATTTCCGCATAAGAAGAATGTACAGTGCTCATTTCGTCGGAATGTGTATAAATTCGAAATATTTGAAAATAGACACAAAATGTGCGTTATGTAAATGTAAAATTTGTAAATGTAAAAATATATTTCGATTTTCTTTCCTCAATTGTAAGTTCCTATCATATAAGAACTGCAAAGTTTGCGACTGCAATAAAACGATTGAAGAGCAAATTTTCAAAAGAATTTAAATCTAATTTCAATAAAGTTAACTTTTTCTTTTAATAATATGTATAATAACGTATCGAGATTTCGGTCTGCATTTGAAAAGAAATGGAACGTGCTTTTAGAAATTGCTCTTCGATCGTTATCGAAGAGCAATTTCTAAAAGCACGTTCGTTGTTATGTATACCATTTGCAAACTTATGTGCAGTTAACAATCTGACTCGTTACGATGCTCGAATGTATCGTTTACCTCAATAAAATAGTAAAAAAAGGCAAACGTAATTGCGACGATTGATTCGTCTGAGAAAGTACGTTTGCACCTTCATCAAGTAATTATAAACTGCATGAGTATTCTCGAATTAATTTTTATGTATTTTTATATAAATTTCTTTCGAGATTCGTATGATTCATGATCTAAAAATAGTCTAAGTTTTATGAAACAATTATGTGAATATATTCTGTATAAAACGCAGATATTTTTCGTTTTATATTATCTAAATTTACGTGGATTTTCGTGGATTCGTAATTTTTACAAGAGTGTAACGTCAGAGAAGTCACATGTATTTATAGTGAATAAAATTCGTATTTATTGCACGTCGCTTGATTACTCGAAGGTAATACGAAGGGAAATAAAGTGCTTCATTATTCCTCAAGATACACTCATACATCAGTATTATGCGTTTTGCAGTCATGTATGTGATGTATCGATGATTTTTGTTATCTTTTTTTGTACAGCGAAACAAAGTCCAAAACATCTCGAAGCGTGGTGAGAGCGATGCCGATTTTCAATCTTCACGTAATATTTTGCGCGATAACGAATTGTCGTACAGAATTAAGTACGGTGTAATGTAAAGATTTTGGACGTATGATTCAATACACAAATTACGGCATTAGAATCGTATCGTTTGATTGTGTTACGATGTCGTTCAGTCTCGGGAAGCATACTTTCGTGTGACGCGGATCACAAAAATCAGAAAAATTGTGAAATATTAATGTCCTGGCTTGCTTTCAGATATACAACTATCGGGATGGCGTTCTGTAAGACCGGTGACCAGCTACATCTGTGCGAAATGCAACGCGGGCTTCCGGAGGACGTGGGACCTGATTAGACATAAATGCGGCCAAACGCCGCGATATGCGTGTCCATATTGTCACAAAAAGGATAATTCATCCTCGAACGTTTACAGACACATCAGACGATGGCATCCGAATCATCCCGTCGGTGTCAACAAAATGTTTTAAACAATACCGTAGCAGGATACCAATTATCGACTGAAAATATATTCCTATCGACGATTTACATATGTGAGAATAAATTATCTGAACGATGTCACAGTGAAATACTAATTACTAACATACGTGAATAAATTTTTTTTTAGATATCTCTTTCAATAGAATTTTCTACATAATAATTCCTTTCTCGTAAACCTGTGATATACTATCTGAATCCCCAACGATTTAATAATTTTGTTATGTATGCGTTCAGCATTTGAAGTTTCTTTAATTGCTTTACAAATAATTGAATTTTTTACTTAATAATATTTTTATTTTTTTATGTTTCAATAATGTGAGATGTTATTGTAACGTTAATATGATAAGATATATATCATATCGGAAATCATAATTGCGAATGTAAGTTTATACTAAATGATTTTAAATGACTCATGAATTTTATTTGTTTAATTTTAACATAAGCTCGCATGTAACATTATCGCAGACACAAAAGATTTATTTCAACGTTAAATAGGATATAAATGGATTATAGAGCAATGAGTTTATCATATGAGTTTATCATATAGTATATCGCGTTGATGTTTTATATTGTGTGATTACAATTCAGCTTCGAGTTTTGCGAAATAAATTGTATGGCTTTATTTATGTTTTCCGATCTGACTTGTCTTGTGCCGCCGTTCGTTGTTGCGAATATAATGATCCGTAGGAACGAGAACGATCCATGTTAAGTTCTATACTGTATTTTCTAGATGATGATCTCTCGTTTATTCGTAGTAAAGATAATTCTTTTTCAACCATGAATTAGCATCGATCGTTTTCGATTCTGAGCAACTGACGCATCCACTCCGTGAGAATTCTCGCAGAGTAGTAGTACACTTTATTGATCCAGCTGAAGCGTACGTTTGTTCTTATGTTAATTTTACTTCTCTCTACTATTCGTCAACACGGATCCGTGCACATCACGATCTCGGTCGAGAACGAAAATTCGAAGAATGAATTGCATCATCCCTAATTTAATTCTTTGAATTTTTCAGGTGCCCACCAGTACGAAACAAGGCAAACGAGGAAACGAGGCAAAGTGTACTCCGTGAACAAGAGTCACTACTGCCCACGCTGCAACCGTGGCTTCACCTTGAAGAAGAATATGTCGCGGCATCTGCGCCATGAGTGTGGCATGGCGCCCAAGTATCAGTGCCCGTACTGTGACAAGCTCTCCAAATTCACGCAGAACATTTACGCACATATCCGAAAGTATCATCCCGGTCAGACTTTGTGCTTTAGACGGTTGTATTAAATAATCATTGAACGTAATGGCGTCCTATTTCTTCTTCGTTTGCTTCCATAGTCACTTTTTGTCACTTGGGAAAAGGAGAAAGTGAAAATTGTCCTTGTGTGAAAAGGAAAACTCAATAAAAGCCCTGGGAGTCGAGTTACAGTCCAGTCTCTGATCCCGTTTTTATGACGAAGTAAATTCAGAAATTTTCTCTCTAGCAAAGTTAACGCGTCGAAGCAGGAGGTCGGCGATCCGGAAAGAGTTAGCCCGGATCAAACGAGTCCTCGTTCTTCGCGTAGCGCGGGCTCGCTTCCGCTTCTTCTAACCGTGATGGTCGTTCTCGATTTCAGGTGCTGCCAAGAGACTCGGTCCTCGACACAAGCGGTTCATCTGCAAGCGTTGCAACAGACGATACGTCTACAATAGGGACCTGACGAGACATCAGATGTATGATTGCGGCAGATCGCCGCGCTTCAAGTGTCCGTATTGTGGCCAGCGGGGCAAGTATCGCTCCATCATTTACAATCATGTGCGAGCGATACATCCCGAGATGCACGTTATGTCAGTAGACCTCGGTGATGTCCGTCTCGCATAAACGTGTCCTTCTGAAGAAATCGCGAAATTGATTTTTGTAAAATATATGATATAATGATAAAGTTGAAAGATCTATCGGAATTGTTAGGTAAATCTGCTGTTTTTAAATTCATGACAATATTTTTAAATTCATGACAATGTTTATATGAAATAATGATTTTTTCCTCACTCCGTTTCATCATCTTCGAATAAGAAGAAAAATGGACGCTCGAATAGCGCTTAATTCGTTATCTATAATCGTCTTTAGGTCTGTGATTATAATCGGTAAGATTCAACATATGTAACATTAAAATGTGATCCGAAGCTTCGCCTCGAATTTATTCATTATATTCGAGATACATTATTAAAAGAAGAAATTTCAATATATGTATTACATTCATACGAGTGTATGTTCTAATTTTTTTCTTAATTTATATATTATCTCGAAAACGAATAAAAGAATAAATAAAAAATTTTTATGCAGTTCTCGTGTCAACCTTTTTGAATTTCGCAATGAGCGCCATATTCCTGTATTCCTTTTATACTTATAGCTCATTTGTTCCATCAGTCAGAGTGCGGTTCACATTATGTTTATTTACTTTCTCATCCATTTATACTGTACATAATTTTTCAGGGTAAGAAATTAATGCAGGCGACCACGCCGGAACGAATAGAGCCGCAAAAGCGGGTAACGCAGCACGCGAAAAAGTGTGTCCGTTTGTTGCTCTTAAATGTTATCGTTCCGTCCCTCCCCCGTGGGTGAACCGCTGTTTTTGACTGACAATCAACCTGTGCTTTACAGCTCTCTACAATCATACCTACTTCGTTGACGTTGCGTCCAGCGGCACCACCAGTCACCGGCGCCGATTCCGTACCAGAATAAGGACAACGACGGGCGGCACCTCGTCACCCGGTACCTATGAGTGTCACAAGTGCCGCAAGATCTACAAGTGGTACCGCGGGTTACACAGGCATCTTGAGTACGAGTGTGGCAAGACGCCGCGCTTCAAGTGCCCGCACTGTGTTTACATCGGCAAGCATCGATCGCACGTCTACTCGCACATCAAGAGCAATCATTTTAATCGGCCCGTTTACGCAATCGACATTCAGCAAGACTGAAATTGCTTTAACAAATGAGTGAATAAATTTTTCTCTCGCGCTTCCTTCGAAATCGAATCTTGACAGATTTTTTCGATTTGATAGATCAAGATGTAAACTTTTGTTCAATGAATAAAATTTAATAAAGATTCACATGTGATTTTACAACGTAATATATATAATCTTTGCGTTTTTTTATAAGGATATAAATTACGATAATATAAGTCAATATAAATGAAGAATCGTATTATCTAATGTAATAAGTAACACAGATGTCTTCAAACATTAAAAATGTTTGGATGACGTTTTTAATTAGACAACTTTTTTAGTCAGTTAACTAATGCCCATGGAGTTTATGCCTTAATACGTCACTAAAACGGTAATGATATTTATTTTGCAAGTACAATATAAGTCGTTGTTACCTTTTATTTTCATTGACGATTTTATGATAAGTAATTTATTTTATTAATGTTAATAAATTATATCCCAGCTGAGGTGATATGTAATAAGTGATTTATAATAAGTTATATAT